CGTTTTTTCTCCATTCTTTATTGTATACTTCATTATCCTTCAAAAATCAGTGTTGTAAAAAGCAATTTTCCTTCTGTTGTATATCGATAACTTTCATATTTTTAAATGACTACTGGCAAAAGAAAAAGAATAATAGTTAGAAGTAATATCATATTTACAATAATATTCTTCTTTTTAGTTGATTCATTATTTCGCAAATATTATCGAATGGAATAATATTGTGAAAAATGAGTTACGTCGAAATAATGATCTACAGTTAATTAACCAAGACGGAAAAGAATATTTTCTCCCTTTTTATGTCATGCATACTCTATCCATACAAACATTATTAAAATAATGTTTGTTTTCCGAATAATGAAATTAAGTTTGATGCAGTAGATAAATAATGATTGTGATTTTATATTTTGAAGAGTAGATGTAAGTGCATATTTCTTTATTTACTGATATAGTCAAATGTATAGAACAAAAGAAATATTGTTATTGTATATTTAATATGTATCGTGTTCATATACAATGATATATATTACAAGTATAAAGAAATAAATTTATATTATATAGTTTTACTTATTGCTTGAAATGATATAAATATCTTCAAGTGAAATGTTTAATAAGGCATGACTTTTAAATAATTTTATTTTTTTAATAATCATTTGATTATTCAACATTTTTATAAAGATCTCCTTACGACTTCGCTACACATTCATCAAGTATAATGCTGTTTCTTTTTCCTCCACATCAACCAATCATTAAATAGCAGCACATTTATAATAAATAATGAACAACGATATAAAAAAACTCATTTGGTTTGTTTGTCCTTATTCCGCCTATTTCTCTTTTTTTTGCCTATATTACTTGAGTCTCTGCATAATATTTAGAATTGTTTTATCAAAAATTTTAATTCTTTAGTTTAATACTGAAACTAAAGAAAATATTGAAGTAAAAAAAATGATTTTCATGTAAATATAATTTATAGATTTCACATGATATTTTTGTTAATATGAAGTCAAATTGTATTTTGTTATTTTTATATTATTCTAAATAGGAGAATATCATTTAATATTATATAAAATAAATAAACTATTATAGTTAATTGAAATCTAGAAAGATACTGAGTTATTCTATTCAAAATAAAATTGAATTTAATAGCTAATTATTGGACGGTATCTGAATTTTACAAATAGAAAGGAGTGGATGTGGGCAGGTATTTATCCATTTCAACTACACCACATTCACACCCTCAAGAGTTTTTGAATAGACAAAGAAATTCATACAATATTTCTCTCCGAAAACTCTATATTTACCATGTATTGCTCTAATTTTTGTGTAATTTTGTTTTTGATTTACTTCACATCAATAACACACTATCAACGTATATTTTGCTTTTTTCGGGTTCGTGTTCCAAAAGATTTGAATATTCAGAGACGATAGTGATGATCGAGATACGAATAATAAGAGATAAGTAAATATTGATTTCTTTTTTGCGTGCACTTAGAATATTCATCATCATGGTTCTCTACATATTCAGATACAAAGACGATAAAAGTTACGACAAAGAAAAATGATGTAAAAGTCGATCTCAGTTCAGGTTCGGATCCAAGCAAAAACGTATTCGTAGATTCCTAGATAGTGCTGGAAAGAAATCAGAGACGAAAAACAAAGTAGTATTTGAGTATCCAAAAAGATACTCTCTCACTAATTTTATGCGCATTCATTTGCTAGATAATCCAGAAAAATTCAGATAAAGATAGAAATCAAGATGAACTTCTTCAATATCAAAGATTATTTCATAAAAGTAGATATGTAGCGATAAAATCACTTTGAAGGCGTTTTGCGACAATACTCACATCTGCGATGATTGTGTTGTGCCAAGAATGGGTTGGTGAACGATGAGCACAAGGAACGATAAGCATGGAACTTTAAGAACAGGGAACAATGAACACAGGAAAGTCAAGCGCAAATAAAAATAAAATAAAACTGACGGTGTGGGTGCGGGTGTGGGGTTGGGTGGATGCGGATGTGTTGAATGTGGATGAAATTATATATTCAACTAAGGCACACACCCACATTCAACACACGCACACTTCATCCACCCACACCCACACCGCTTGGACTGTGCCGCTGTACTGCTTCGTAATGGAAATTTATTAGTGGCTGGAGGTGTGGATTCGAACTCTAACATTTTATCGTCTGCTGAAATATATAGTTTTACTACTGGGAGATTCTCACCTATTCAACCAATGGGATGTGCTCGTTCGCATTTTACACTTACGCCTTTACCAACGGGTCAAGTGTTAGCAGTTGGGGAAAAAGGTCCTGCAATAGACGAATGTCCACGTGTCAGTGAACTCTACAATTCAACAACTAATCAATGGATAAGTACTCTTCTACTGAATACGGGTCGTCATAAGCACAACGCTGTTCTCATTAACAATGGTGTATTGGTTTTAGGTGGTTCTGTGGATGATGATACTTATCAATACGCTTGTGAGAGATATGATCTATAAGTATCATTATTGTCTACCGTTTCTCTAAAAAAACAAACTCATGATATTGTTTTCTGACGTTATTACAACCTTCAGTTCGATACGCTCTTCACTCATGTTAAGTTTTCTATGTTTCTAATCTCTTGAAATAAATTTATTTACTACATAATCATGCATACACTAATATCACTGTATGCGATACAATTAAAGAGAAGAAAAGGATTATAAATGCAAATCTTCAATTTGACATCAAAAATTTATTTTCTTAATTTTAACTTATTTACTATTCTAAAATAGTATAGAATTATTCTGCAGACTGAGCTTGACTTTAAGAATTTGAGTATAAAAAACATTTACTGATATGTAATAAAATGTTTTTATATTCTTAAAAATCAAGAGAGTGTATGAGTGTGAGTACATTTTTTTCTTTGTACACATTCTCACGCATACCCTTTCAAGATGTATATAAAGTATTTTTATTTAATTCTGATAGATATGAAAAGGATTAAACTATAATTAGAAGAAGATTTTCGTTATGATAGTGTGTTTTCTTAAAAAGTATCGTATGAGTATCATACATATAGACCAAAGCAAAATTGATAAGAGCATTTAAAAATGTTTATTGCAATTCGCACTTAGTAAAACTCGAATAGTTTGTACAACTGGATCGATCAAAACCAAATCATCTTTCCCATCTCGATTTAGATCAGCTACTGAAAGCCATCGAAAACTTTGATCGGTGCAATTTTCTCCAATTTGAAAGGAAATTTTCTCTTCAGAAAATATTCCAAGTTTTGTTCCGAGATATATACCAATAGTCTGATTAGAATGTAATATAGCCAAATCATCGATAGAATCATTATTGAAATTGATTCGAACAACAGATACTGGAGAATTGTTTATATGATAGATATGTTGTAAGAATTTACCATCTCCTTTAGCAAGTAGGACGTGCAGTCCATCAGATTGAGGAGAAACAAGTGCTATATCATCGAAATCGTCATCATTAAATCGACCTCGAATGATTGATTGTGGAGTTCCATGAATCTTATCTTCGACGTATGTATAGTTCGCTTTGTCAACTTCTTCATAATTGATAGCAGAATAAGTAAAGACTTTCTTCTCACCACTACAAAAACCTATGTCATTTTTTTTTCCGTCATGATCAAAATCACTAAAAACAATTGATTCGATGTCCCATGTGTCGACTGTTCTTAAATCTCGATGTCGATAATCACATCCATCCCCTTGATTTAGTGCAACGGCTAAATAATTAGTTTTAAAATTAGGATTATTGCAATCAAAAAGTAAATCAAGACGTCCATCCCCATTTAAATCATGAACTTTTAGTAAGCGAACTTCATCACGTTTGTCAGGACATGCAGATAACAACTTGTGAGATACTCTGTTGAATGAATCATATGATCCATGACCGAAAAAGATCACTATTTTGTTTGTTTTTGACAATGTTACAGCTAGAAAAAATAATAAAATAATTTTAGATAAACTAAACTGTCTATTATGTTCTACATAGTCTTGAAGAAGTTTTCAAGAATGCTATCATTGAATGCCTTTACAGGCAAAATAAATGCAGGCATCATTCTCAAAAAAGTTCGAGAAGTTTTGAATGAGATATGCATAGTTTTCTAGATTTAAATAGTCTTATCACGCACAATTTGATATAGCAGAATATTTTAAACTATATTATGAAAAAAATTATCGATGTTAAATGAACTAATTAACTGAATACGTTTTGACAGAAATATTCCATTTCAGAGAGCTGGACAAGAAACAAGACGATAGTAGTTATTACATTTCTTCTAATCGCTCTTATTTGTGATCGTATATGACTTTATCATTAAAATTATTTCATATAGATATTGTCCTTAAAATATTAAAAATGAATATTGCTCGGGATGGGTGGGTTTTGTATTTCACCCACACCCTCAGTTGGAGACGGTTACTGGGTTCGTAAGTCGAATTGCTGGCATTTTTCGATCGAACACGATCTCTTTCCTGAGAGTTATCCTCGTAAATTCTCATAATACTCTTTGAGGAATCACTGACCTATGTATATAAATTCAACAATATAGAGGGTTGTTTACCTATGTCCAAAAATGTATCATTGTTAAGATCACCGGATGCTATTCCCCAAGGATAACTTCCATTGCCGGTTGAATAAACTTGTTGTGGCTGGAATGTTCCATTTTCATTTCCAAATAATATGCTAAATGTGCCATCTCCATAGTTTGCTACTGCTAAATCTAAAAATGAATCGCCATTTAAATCACGTAGAATAAATGACTTGGCATCATGACCAATTGAATAATGTTCAGATTGATACATTAAAGTCATATAACAAATTTCTAAAAAAACGAATTAGCAACCCTACAACCCTCAAGATGTTTCTCAACACTTGTATGCTAACCTGCTGATGTTGTCGTTGATTTTGTTATTTCCGTAGTGGTGATTAAAGTGGTGATTGATGTAGTTATTGGTATATATTTTGTATCTTTTTTTCCCGTCGAAATGACTGAAGCTACAACTATTGCAACTATAACTAATAGACATAGACAGATTGCAATTATTCGATCAGTTCGATTATTAGATCTTCAATAATAATAAATATATGCTTCAAAAGAAAAATTGCATGTAATTTTAATACTTACGGTTCGATTTGCTCTTGAATTGGATCAACATTGATCTGAAAGATGAGTAAATAGAATAGAAAGTCAACTAATGACAAAAAAACCGAAAAAAATAACCTCGATTGCTGTAATGGGAACATTCGGAATAGTATTGAGAGTGACATCATCTGAGTTGGTCTCAGCTATATTTGGATATGGTGCTACTCTTCTTTTCCTTCTACGATCAACTAATTTGATGACTATCATTCCTACGAAAGACACAATATATCGTAGTAGTGTTGACAAACCGCCCAAAATTGACAACGTTTTAGTTAGAAAATAAAGCCCATTAAATGGCAATGAACGAGAATATTGACAGAGTTTAGGAGCACATTCTTCATAATAGTGATCAAATGAAACATTCTGAACCCATTTTTCGACAAAAAATTCAGCAAGAATCGTTTCCACTGTTCGATTAGAAGAAGATGATGACGATGGAAATAATGTCTTAATTGGAAAAGGTTTCGCATAGTAAATCAATGTTTGCAGTAGAGATAAACATGTTTGATTATAAAAACAAGAGAAACTCGATTGTAACATCGCATCGAGCGGTAAACATCCACCAAGAAAGTTTGGAAGAGTTTGATTTATCAATTGATTCGATACTATATAAGGATAAGTGAGGAATCTAGTGCAATTTGATTGTAATACACATGAACAATTCTCCTCATTATATGTTCGTGGCAAGGTTAAAGCATACAATTGATCCTGATAAATTTTTGGATTTCCAAATCCTAAGGAATTATATAAAGAAACATTATAGATCGGATTAACAATGAATTCCCAGTTGGATGAATTGATTGTTGCTAGTTGATTTGCAAGATTTGTTACTTGCATTAATTTGAATAACAAAACCAGTTCATTACTTGTTGTTCTCTTAAATTCTTCAATTAATCCATTAATTTGAACATGGAATTCATCAGGAGTGATCACACGTGCTGTTATGAAATCTCTTTGCAGCCATACTGATAAGGATGAATTTAGAAGATTTTCAGATAATGAACACATCTTTGAGACTAACTCAAATTGGGATCGAATCCAAGCACGAAAATCGTTTTCGTCAAAAACCGGAGTGCTCTTTTTCTTGTCATTAGTAGCATCTGGCTTATCATCCTGACTCCATACGGTAACAAATCGATCGAATGAAAAAAACTCACTCGAACAAATTGGATGACCTTGAGGTTCGATTTGTCTGATAAATTTGTTATATTTCACTGAGAGATTACTGTAGGAACATTGAAATGTTAATGGGTATCGATTATATAATTCCAAATATTTTGGTATAGATGGAGATTCAATAGTAACTGGTATTGTTTCTTTTGTTAACGATGTATAAACAACAAGGATTAATAAAGATATAAGTAACAACGTGAAATAAATTCGAGTTAGTCGTCGATTTCTACAAAGATTATTTAGGGTTTGTGAAGAGGGAATTACAGGAAAGATATTGAATTCAACAATACTCTTCTTGATATATTGGAATGAAATACGGAGACGATCATAAATGACTAAAAAGAAGAATTTCATTCAGAAAATATGAAAATGAATAATATCGTGGAGAAAAATATGGGAAAAAAGAAATTAATCATAATGGAGAAAATAGATGTCAAAATAGCCTACAAAGGGTGTGGGTGTGGGTATTCTATTTCATTCATATTCACATTTATCCGCTAGATAAAACACTGCTTTATTCTGTAAAATATGTATGTATGTAGAGATACGTGAGTGTTTATTCAACAACACGAACAAGTATAACAAGAACGATAATAGAAAGAATAAAACGAAGGAAAGAAAGAGAACGAGAATGTGTGAACGAACTAACGATGTATATGTGTGTGTATATATATATCGAAGGAAAGGAAAATACCATAGTGACTTATGGGAAAAATACATAAGTACACTTGGTATGATATAATGGATAATACCAATATGTATACTCTGATTACATATTGGAATAATCCACAACATATTCCAAAAAGGCAAATATACGATGTACACTTTGCAGCAGAAATTTACATTTTCTTTCTAATACATAGAAAACGATTTTCAGTTCCAAAACTACCATTTACGTATAGGTAGATCATGATCTAACAGATAAAAGTTGTATCTATGTTTATTCAGATGATATGAACTTTATTTTATACTCCATTCCTTTGCGCTCTATGAAGCTTCGTTTTCGTGTGTTTGGCCATCAAGAAATTGGTAATAAAAAGTACTAACCAACTCCTTGCGTGTATAGAAATTTCAATTTTTCTTTGAAATTAGACAGTGAAATAGAGTTTTCATGTCGATGAAAATATTCTGGTTTCGCTCTTAATTTTTCTATAGAAATCTCCAGGCCAACTTCTGTTTTTTGATGAGAAATCTCTATCATGATATTGTCAAAAACGAGTGGATATAGTTAAAGGTGTGTTTTTACAAATGTGCGATGGATATAGGTGTTTATGCTTAGAAGGTGTACATGGAGAAAATAATGTTTTTTAGTCAAAGAAAAATGTTAATACAGTATGCAGTTAGTATATTCACAGATGAGAGAAATTCCGACTGATTTATTTACCTCTTCTGGTAGAGACCGTTTCTACAGATGGTCTGATTGTATTTTGTCGCCGATATTTGATTTTAGCCCAAATATAATACAATAGTTTGATGAGATACGGTACTAATAATGTTAGAGGAAAACTAAGAGTGCCTAATGTTCCAATAATTCTTGTAACAGCATCGATTATATTATACCGACTTAGATATGAATATTGACAAGATAAAGGAAGACATTGATTAAAATACGATTCATATGAACTAGTTTGATTAGACCATGATCGAATAAAAAGTTTCTTTGCCAACATATCGATTGTATCATTTTCACTTTCGTTCATTGCTAACGATGACAAACGAAGTGTTGAAAAATTTGTTGGTGAAACTAGAGAATTAATTTCACGTGTAATCTCAGATAGACATGTTTCATTGTAGAAACATTCTAATGTCGATATTAAAACAGAGCGAATAGGCGATACTGTTAGTCTCATTCCTGGAATAGTTTTGCGGGAGAAATCTTCTTCTACAACAACTGTTTCTAGAACACATTCGCCGGGAAACAAAAAGAAACATTCGCATTTTTCGCTGAGTGTACATACAGGACGATCGTGTCGAGCATTTAATTCAGGTTCTAAGCGGAAAACTTCTTTGTTGTGAACATCCATTCGAGATCGAAAAATAGAATTGAGTGGTACAATCAATTGATTAATTTCAGTATTTGCTTCTATTAGTTGTAATGTCCATCCATATGATTCTGGTACCGTTCTTTTGAATTGTTCAAGAATTAATTCAGATTCGATTTGAAAAGAAAAATTATCAATAACTTTAGGAGTAATCAATTTTGTTCGATAAAATGACTGAAGGTTGTCTTCGATAGTTTGCTTAGCTACACGAAAAAGTGTAGATAAAAGCTGAAAATGCATTTGAGATTGAAAACGAATATCATTGATGAAAAATTCTTTCACGGGAGATTCAATAAATTGAAGTTGGATCCAACGAGGAGTAATGAATTCAGATGAACAGATTTCATGGTACTCAACTTCGATATCAGAAAAAAATTGTTTATATTCGAATGAAGTTCGACTACATGGACAATCAAGTGTCAATGGATATTCCTTTCTCAGTCGAGCAAAAGTTTCTAACGATGGGGATTCAATAGTCTTACTGATTGTAATAGATTCAAGAAACGTATAAAAAATCATAGTAATTGAAGTTACCAATAACAAAACTAAATATAAGCGTGTTGTATGATGTTGTCGTCGAAGAATGGTTTCATCTGTTGAACGTGGAATACTTATAAACAGATTAAATTCAACTAGTTCTTGTTTGATCCGTTGAAATAACATTTTCAGACGTGTACTTCTTGAAACTACTGAAAAAAAATTAGAACACTCGATGATAACACATAATTATTCATGCAAAAATTCTCAATCCAGAGTTTCGATGAACTCGTCATGACATGTTTGAACAAAACTGAACTGAAAAATAAGAGTGTTGAGATTCTTGTTTCATATGATTCTTTTTTCAAAGGATACCTACACGTAAAAATGTATCGAGCCCGAATCTCTCGGGCTCGGATGAGTATGGGTGAAAGTGTGGGTGGAGGTGTATGTGAATGTGAGAATGATAGTACTCGAACTCACCACATACACACTCTAGTGGAGTCAGGAAACAGAAGTCATAAGGTGAGGTCTTCAGAGTATGAAATGTCCTTACCTTATATATCTCTAACAGGTAGTAATTTATATTAAATATTTCGTAGTTCATTAAATAAATCTTACCTGGCATAGTTTCCAATACGACGGCTTGTATCGGGGGTGATGTTCGTTTACAAATCTTGTTCCGAACCTTTGGCCATACTTTCGTAATAAGAAGCGGTGCGAGAATCCCTAATACCGTCGATGCTCCCTGAAAGAAGCCAATCAACGATAAGAGAATCTTCCAGAAACTATGATGTCGAATTTTTCTATAAGAACATGATTTAGGTGCACAATTCTGAAAATATTTTTCGTATGATGTATTGTGTGACCAAGATTGGACAAACATTTGACTAAGTAATTTTTCAATTTTCCAGTTTGAGTTCGATGAACTGAGTTTTTGAAAACTTCGTGATGAATTATTCAGTTTATTGATGAATGTTTGATTATCGAATGCTTCAAGAGTAGAGTTCATCAATGCATTTAACATATAACAACCAGTTTGAAAACCAGGCAGAACAATATCGTCAAATGTTGCCAGACCCATGCAGGTAGTAGCAGTTGAACTTGAGCAGATACAGGTGAAATTATTTGTAAATGTGTAGTTGATTCCAGGATAAGGGACAATACCGTTGTCTATTCCTTCTATCGTATATTGTCTGACTGGTCGAACACTTGTAATTGAGGCACCAGTCATGAACAAACTCTGTGCTGTTGTATCTTGCATAAAGTTAAATGCTCTTATAAATGTCTTGGGTGTTTCTTCGATGAATTCATTGATAAAGGAGTCGATTTGAGTTCCAAAAATTTCTGGTGAAACTAGTAGAGATTGAACGAAATCCGTGTAATTAAATGATTGAAGATTCCTGTTGATTGTGTCGTTTGCTAATTGACAGAGCGAACGAAGTGTTTGGAACTGAAATACACCTATTCGACGAAAGTCAATTGGAGTTGAGTTGTTCCAACTTTGCTCATATAAATCAAACAAACGATTAATCCATTCATCTGATACAAAATCACTTCCACACAATTGATGATAAGTAGGTACAACTTCAGTAAATACTTCATACTTTACTGCGATGTTTGTACACGGACATTGTAATGAAGTTTCGTTTTGTATACGATCATATTCATCTGATGAAGGAGATGGAATGAAAACGTCTTCTGTATAAAGTGCAGCACTATAGTATACAAGAAAAATGATCATTGATGTCACGAGAAGAACTACGTAAAGACCAGTTGATCGACGTTCATTCTGTATAATAGTTTCATCTTCACTGGCAGTATTGAATAAATTCAATCGATATAGATGAGATTTGAGAAAGTTAAAGAGACGACGTAGATCCTCTTTACTTGGCATTTTGATCTTTGGCAATGTTTAAGCGTCAAACCTTTATGTTAATCTAAATAGAAGATTGATCGAATAATTTCTCAAGAAATGATCGATTCTGCTTGACTTTTGTCATCAAACGATGGGAGATGTAGATAGGGATGTGCTTGAAACTTTTGCATCAATCACCACAACATGTTCCGTCGTGCACACCGGAGATGGGCAACTCCAACTCCGCTACCATTTCATTCAGGTAGTGTGTTCGCTCTCCTCCAAGCCTCTCTCTATTTTGAGAATCCAACTCCAATGTTGAAGTTGCTCATCTCTGGTGTAGGGATGTATCGAGCGCGAGCCTCTCAGGATTGGTCAGGCTCTGGGCTCGGGCTCGGTACATCCCTACCCTGGTGTGTATATTTACACCCAGCGCAAAAAGATAGTGCTGGATGAATACTCTAAACGTGGTAGGTAGTTTTCACATATCGCTGAAAAAAATGGTGTCAATCAAAGTTTATTAAAGTTGGGTGAAATTTCACCCACTCCCTCGCCGTCCTTGGTCGCACCAACTTCATATCGACTTTACTCTGAGTTAGGGGTATGCCACGGAAGGTTTACTGATGTCAGCTACCACAGGAACCAAGAATAACAGTTTGTCAAAGCTGGGTGAAATTTCACCCAACCCCGCCCCCTTTACTGTACCGATGTCCTCTCAACCTTCCTCTGAACCTGGAAGACTGCCGTGGGAAGTTTAGTGTTGCTAGTCATCGCACGGATCAAATACATAAAGAAGAAACAAAGCTTCTTCTTTATATATATGTAGTTACAGGAATGATGATGGAAGAAATATTTTTTGGTTTCGAAAACTGTGAGTCTTTTGGGCTGTCTGCTTTTATGAAGAAAGTCTTATCACTTATGTGACCAATGTCATAAAGTCTATCCGGAAATTTTTACATTTTTCTTCACATGGTTATAGGGATACTCACTAATTACTTGTTAATTAATTTTTATTGAATAGTAGTTCAAATAAAAGGAAAATATGTCCTATTTTGTTCATATATACTGACCTTAACTGGGATGAGTCACTACTATTGTCATTCTCTTATCGTTATACTTCAATTATTCATTACTTTCTCTTCATTAAAATTTACTTTTTTCTTTCTTTCTTATGCAAATGGATACTCCTGTCATGTTGTTAACCATCCATGGAACTTCTCACTCAATGGTCATTTTCCTTTTGTTATGACTATATATGTTACTACTTTTCCAATAAAGAAGAAAAATGTGAGCGAAAGTTATCGCTGACACGGTTATTCATGATCCGTTCACTTACCTACAGCTGAGTTAACTGCAAAAAGAAGAAAAAAAATAGAAATTTCTTCATTATATACTAATGCAACGGTGCATTCAATTTATATGCTTATCTCTAACGTGTAAAACTATTTTTTTATATCCTGACTTTTTTTTATAGATTAATACTGAACGTAGTGAACAGTCAGATATGCTCACTATTTCAGCGTATTTTCTCTATTTTTAAGAGAATAAATGGGCGAGAAAAAAATGGTTTCTTGCCGAGTATGCTCTTATCATTTATTTTTTTTCGAGAAGCGGAAAGGTAGAATATGACTTTCAGTAATACATTTTTATATTTGTGCATTTGATTAAAATTAAAAAAACGGAAGAGTGTGAGCGTTGAGATAAATAGAAATAGTATTTATCTAAGTTAATAATTTTATTTCCGTTTGCTGACTATGTAAAACAGAACTGATATAATAGATTGGAGAATATCATGAATTTCAAATATACAAGTTAGATATGCAGTCGATTAGAAACTTCGATATTGAGAAATTATACACAAGTAGTCAATTTATTATCAGATTAGTATTAAACTTTTTTTAGAGACTGATATGATTTTCCATTAAATATCAAAATATTATCTTTGCTGTATAAAACTGTCTCAGAATTATCCATAACAGATGGTGATGATTCATTGTGTTACGTATTTCATATGACTATGGTTGTAATTAGAATCATGATTATAGTTCTTTCTATTGATTAGTCATATCTAGTAGACTATAACTAAGTGAAGATCAAGTACTAATCATTTTTGTTTTCTTCAATGTTCTATTTTGATCTCCAATTAAATCGATGAATATCATAATCCTTTATCTATTCTGTAAAATAACTGACGTCAGCTTTTTTTCTCTGTTAGGAAATGTCGCATATCCTTTGAACAGCGCTGATTTTCAATGTTTTATTAACTAATAATTACACTAAATGTTGTCTCAAACAATTTCATATTTATAGGAGATAACAAATCTATTCGATAAGAGTTCGTTTTTGAAAACTAACATTGAAAAAGGAAGTTTTTATTAATATATGACGTTTTACATTAATACGATGATCTACGTTATAAAACAACTGATTATTTCAGAAAGAGAAAGAGAGAACATGACAAAATATTTTTTTCTATTTTCTAGTTAAAATTGAAATGAAAAACTTCTAAGATTAGTCGGTAAGAAATATTAGATGTTACTGAAAACATAGATTTCAAAAATTAAC